AAATAAATCTGTACTTCTACTAATGTATACATCTAAACATCAAAATAAATCAGAAATTTTTTTTATCTAAACATTGAAATAAATATGTACTAATGTATACATCTAAACATTGAAATAAATCTGAACAAATGTATAAATCTAAACATTGAAATAATACTTAGGAATGTATTTTTTCAAGGGTGAATATGGAGATGTGAGCGCCAGAAAAGAGTTGCGCAAAAATCTCAACTGTAAAAACTTTGAGTGGTATGTGAAAAATGTTTATCCAGATTTGTTTGTACCAGGAGATGCTCTGGCTTCAGGAGAGGTGAGTCCCATGTTGATACTTTTATTTCTGGGATTGAGCATTAAATGTTGACAGGATTAAGCTTTTATCCAGTAATTGCCTACATGGTATACATCTAATAAAAATATGTTATGTGTCTCTTTTGAGAGTGTTTTATTTCTTTTAATTGCGTCATAAATAAAATTTTAATGACCATCCCCCCACCTCCACACTGGTCACATGACTTTTATAGTTTAAGATTTGTAATAAAATGTTTTCAAACTCAACTCAGCACAAAGATTTGTCAATTAATTAATTAGCTTTTTTTTATCTACATCATCATCCCTCAAGCTTTAAAGGGCAGGAACTTATGTCATAATGTAGTATTTAATTGTAGATAGTAATAAAGCATCAAATGGCCTCATATCCTGCTTTTAATTTACAGATTTAAGGCATGTTCCCTTTGAGCTAATACAGTCATTCCTAATAATATTGATGCTGGTATTCTAACATTTATTGATGACTAAAATAGTTGTGGACTTAGCGAATGTAGTGAAAAGTGAAAATTAATTCTTTGATAAGTTAAATAAACAAAAGGTTAATTCAACAGTAGGGCTAATATTAATATGTATTGTGTTCTCAGATAAGGAGTAAAGCCAAACCAATGTGTATTGACAGCCCAGCTGACCATCACAATTATCATAAACCTGTCAACATGTGGCAGTGTCATAATCAGGGAGGAAACCAGGTCAGCATGATTTAGCTCTAAGTTGTTCTAGGTCACCATATGTAGACCTAGAGGCCAGTCTGGTTGTTTTAGGGCATTATGTGTATTCTCTAGGTTAGTCTTAACTTGTTCTAGGGCATCATGTGTACCATTCTAGTTGTTTTTAAGGCATCATGTGTATGCTGTAGACCAGTCTACTTGTTCTAGGCTTTGGGTACCATGTTTATCCTGTAGACAGGTCTAGTTGGTTCTTTGACTATGTTGCTTCTTTCAGGTTTTGAATGCTCTGCAGCAAGACATTCTTGTGATGTTTCTAGTTTGTCTCAGTTTGCAGATATTTGTACCTTAGTCTTGAACTTTTGGAAAAGAAATGCAGTCAATAATATTTAGGGGGGTTATGCTCAGTGGAGATAAAGTTACATTTTGTGTCAACTTTCCAATACCTTATAATCATAGTTAGCATTATAGTTTTAATTTTGTTCAACAAAGTCAATAAAAGTTGTTTTCTTTTCTAATAACTTCAAAAGATTTCTCGAACATTGGTAAGTAAAGGCTTCAGTTGGGATATGGTTCCATTGACTGTCGGTATTTCTCAATGCTAGACTGAACACTTTATTTTTTCTATTACTTTAGTGGACTCTCAAGATAACATCTGCTCCAAAGGCTTCAGTTTATTTAGAATTATATTTTTGACCCTTTTATTTTTGTTATTACCTATTTAATACCGGTTTTAATTTTGTTAAATGTTTTGTGCATTTGAGTTAGCATTTTGTTCGATATTTTGTATATCAGTACTAATGTTCTGTATAATATTCTCTTTTGTATAACCATCTGTGTTATGTTTTGTATATTAATGTTTGTGTTTTGTATGACATTTTATATATCAATGTTTGTGTTTTGTTTTATATTTTGAAAATAGACATTTGTGTTTTATCAGTGGCACATTTTTCTATCTTTTTTTTTTTCTTAATCTTGAAAGTATTGGATGCTTAGCAAGTTAGGGGAAATAAGAAGAGATGAAGGATGCTTAGACTACTCTGGTGGAGAAGATGTGATTATCTACCCTTGTCATGGTCAGAAAGGAAATCAGGAATGGATTTACAAAGAGGTTGGTTCCTCTAGCATCAAATTAGTTTGATTAGTATAGATTCTTTAATCATGACCTATGGATTCACAGGATTTTCTTTTCAATCATCACAATGACCAGGTGTTCTTAGTTTCAAGATTTCAGGCTGACAATACCAGGCTAATAATATTCATATGACCTTAAGTTATCATAACTTGAATTTATGCTTAGGGGGTGTGAGTATGATGCAGCATGGGGTGGTGTGTATGATTCAGTTTGGAAGGTGTGCGAGTATTTTACAGATTTGGGAGGTGTGTTTTAGTATGATACAGTTTGGAAAGTATGTGTGCTTGTTTTTGACTTGGTAGAACATGTTGGATGACCTCTTGGGCATGTGTTATGTGCTCCAGATTGTCATTCTGATGGTCATAGGTTCAAAACCTACACACTGCCATCTATTGCTATTCTGTGGGAGTTTTGGGCTAGGATGTAATAATCTTCAATTTTGAAGTAAAATGCGAAACATTTAAACAAAATTAACTTTTTAAAAAACTGTAACCATAAAAGGAACAACATTCAAATACTTATTCTCATCTCATGAAAAACTTTGAGAGTAGCTTTCTTGTTTTATTTAATTTCATATATATCTATAGACTCCATAAAACCATTATGCTAGTTGAAAATTATGACATCTAACTGAAATCTTATGTCTTGAACAGGACAACACTCTAATGCATGCCAACACCCACAAGTGTGCAGAGGTTTCTGTGGATGGCAAGAAGCTTACTATGAGATCTTGTACTGGCATTGACAGACAGATCTGGTTTTGGAAGAGGAAGACTACAGATGGAGCAGCACATGTATAATGAAAGTAGTTCTAGAACGAATGTTGTCCTCAATATTCAATGTGATAATCTTTTTTTTTTCTTTACTTTACACACTTACTTTTTTTTAGGGTTCTTTTAAATAAATTTGAGTTAGGCATTTTCAGAAACAATTTGAATTTGTACAAGTAAATGATTATTCTTTAATTGAATCCCTTATTTTGTAAACAATTTTAATTGACACGTCCTGTCCATATAGCTAATAGTTCAAGTTTCCATAGTTAAAATTGTTTAGGGATTTGGGTACACCAGAGACCTATTACAGCCATTGTCTAGTAATTTTTAGAACTAGTCTAACAAGGATGTGACACTACGACCTTTATGTTCTCACTTGTTTGGTTTGCCACTTCACAACCCTGTCCACGTAATGGAGAGGTCAAGCACAAAGATGTAATAGCTAGGAAAGAGTTGTACCAAGTGAGCTCTAGATGCATACTTTATGAAAGGCAAACAGTTTCTCTGAATTCCTTAACAAACTTTGTAGGTACTGCAGTTGAAGCTCATTATGTTTATTTTTCATGTTGTACACTCTTTGTTGGGATCACACTTTCAATCTTCTATATTGTGACTGATACTACACTATATAAAACACTATAGGACAAAATATTTTTAAATATATTTTTACAAATGCAACATTCATTTCAAGACTACCTTGGTTATAGTTCTGTATTTTTTTTTTTTTATAGTTCATACCAAAAATAATGACTTTGAAGTTGGGATTGTCTTTTGTTTTTTTAATTTCTAACCAAACTCAAATATAGATTTATTGATTAACCTTCTCTATGATTCAATTGTATCCTAATCTTAAAACACTATTTGTTTTATACTTTTATTATCAATTAATCTCTCTAGTTGATGTTACTATGTTGCTAAAACTATAACTCTAAAAGTTGATAAAACTATTGTTGAACTTCTTGTTTGATGACTGCCTCAAGTTGGTTTCAGCCCTTATATTGCCTTCTATGTGCATAAGTTTCTCAATTTTGTTTCATTTCTGTTATTGCAAAAATCTAAGTTGAGCATGTTTGTTTCCTAATGTTTCAAGTTTGTTTTTTTTAATTTTCAAAGAGGTGTCTGTATTTCCCTTGGACTGACTTAAGTATGAAAGTTGTTTGTAAATTAAAAGCATATGTATGAAACTCGGAAGTACTATTTATTTTGTTATGCTCTAATTAATACTTTTTGTTTATACTTAGAAGTTAGCCCAAACTAAAATGCCATTGCTATTACTATTGCTATTATTTTGACCAAAATTAGTTGATTTCAATCTAGTTTTTAATGTTTCCTTATTATTTTATGAGAATTTAATAGTGTAAGTTCTTCATGTTTTTTTTTTCAAATATAAATGAAATCTTAAACAAATAGCATTTCCTGAATCAATATGTATGAAAGTTTGATTTGTCTTTGAATTACAACTATAACTATAAGCATGTTTTATATAAAGCTACTGTTGACTAAGCCCACCTTTTTTTTTTTTTAAGAATTTATGGCCACAATGCTTGGTAAATGATTTTGGTGGTTGGTTTCATATCAGGATTATTTTAGAGTAATGGTTTCTTAAATGAAAGAAGCAGCTGATTATTGGCTGTGCAACATGTATACTATCATTTTGTTTTTACAGCATGTCAACAAATATTATATTGTTTTTATTTGCAATCAGACAAAAACTAATATTTGTAAAAGCCATTTTCACTTTATGTTGATTGTGGTTGCTGTGCTGTGTACCTCAGACTTACAGAGGCAGTGGACTTAAGACATTCCATTGTTTGTTGAAATTATTTCAATCACTTGAATCATCTTCTCATTAGAAGAACTCTTGGTTGGTTACTAACAGAGAATATTGCCACCCTTTTTTTTTTAAACTGTCAACAAACTTGCTTAGCATAATTGATGACTGCTTTTTTTAGTTCTGTGTATCATGGGAAGTCATCAGACATTTCTGTTTAAGTTATGTGTTCAAGGCTTGTTTAGTTCTGTGTATTATGGGAAGTCATCAGACATTTCTGTTTAAGTTATGTGATCAAGGCTTGTTTAGTTCTGTGTATTATGGGAAGTCATCAGACATTTCTGTTTAAGTTATGTATTCAAGGTTTGTTTAGTTATGTGTTCAAGGTTTTGTTCTGTTCTCACACTTAAGTACAACATTTAGTGGACTCAACAAAACCTAAACATTTATCCGTTCCTCTTGCCAAAATGTTATTTATTAAAGTACAGGGAAAATAAATGTTTCAAATTGTATTAGGCTCTTTACAAGATGGCCGTATCAGTTTATAGTCACTTTACAAGATGGCCACATCAGTTCATAGCAACCTTTAGGGATTTTTTCATCCATTTCACTTTGCTACAAGTTTTCATTGAGCTGTTTAAGAAATTGTGAATCAAGTGTTTGTTTTCAGGATCATCATTTGTATGTTCGTTGTCACTTGAACTAAAGAATGTTTAATTTATTGGAGATCATTCAAAGTACTCCTAGAGTCTGAGAGTACATTCACTGTACATAGTTATGTGTGTTTTATTTTAGTTCACTAATGACTAGTGGGAGATAAGGTATGACAGGTTAAGGAATTTAATCTGAGGTTGATGACTTAATTTTTTTTAATTTTTTTTTTTTTGCTTGATATATTTGCATTCTGATCATTAATTTTGGTGTTTTCAATTAATAATAACTTGAACTTATAACCATATGATCATGCTTTCTCATAATTTGTTATACTGGTGATTTTTATGGTTTGCAAAACCATAATTCATTCATCTGAGTGAATTATTGCCCTTTGATTCTAATTCTGAACTATTTTCCATCTTGGCTATTTAATTTCATGTATTCATTAGTTTTTCCTTTCTCAATATTTTACTGTCATTTCCTGTCATGCACTGGTAGTGAGGAACTTGCTGTTCTTAAGGTCAACATAAAATCAGTCCTTGAGTAAATGTGTCCATATATCTGAGACTGCTGATCTGAACCCTCTATAAATTTTTATATCTATACTTACAATTGTATCCAGATCATCATATTGACATTATTATGACCTAGATGCCTCTCTCTACCCAACCAAGCCATTCTCCCCTCCCCCCATATCATTTCATTGAACCATGTCAGTGTGTACTTCTGTTGATGTATTTGAAGATTTCATCATTTAGAAAACCAGTTTCCAGCCATGACCTGCTTTATCCATCTTTAGGAAATCCTTGTTATTTTTATTTCTGTCTCTTCAAATCTTGTTTTGTTTTCAGAGTTTAGACATTTCTATGAATGTTCTGAATTGAATGAAGCGATGAAGCTAGGTGATTGCATGTGCTAAGATGTTGGCAACAAAGAGTTTTCTTCAAGTTTCTTTGAGAGTTGTATTATTTCTAATTTTATTTGCAAATATTTTTGTTTTTTCTTTGTTACTTATAATTTTAAAATGTGATTTAATATGCAAAACAAACTAACAAAAACAAAAGAAAAAAAAACTTTCTTAATAAAATAAGCATTACATGAATTATTTTTTTCTGACAAATGTTTATCTGCGATGTCACAACAAAAATATTTTGTTTTTTACCTTTTTAGAGACTGGTGAATTAATATATCACCTAAACTTATATCAAGTAAATGCAGTGATATGGTTGACTGTAGCTAATTTTCTTTTTATCCTTGAAATGTTTAAGATCTAATAATTCCACACCTATCTTGGTTTGACTATTAAATATTGAATCAACTAGTTAGGAAACTATTTTGTACTATTACTGCTCTCTTTATTCTATTCCATTCAAAACTTGTGTTTGATTTGCTAATAAAAATGTTTGATGCAAGAATTACAGCTACAAAAATATTTATTTATGAAATCAATGCAGTTCACACACAAAGTACAGTAGGATACTTTTAAAAGATGCATGGAAAAAAAAAGGATTAAGAATGGTGTAAGTTTAGTTTCATAAATAGAATGCTATAAAGTATTCTTTAGTTTCTAATTATGGCACCGAACTGTTAACTTTACCCTTCAGTTGGATGTCATAGAACTTGTTTTTTCTTTCTTTGAATAACATCCCATGCACATCTTGCAATATGCAATTGTCATGTAGACCATTGATGAGATTGTGTTCTTGTGTTGAGTTTTGAATGACCAAGTGTTCTGGGAATGTGAGGGAAAAGTATTGAGTAGAATTGATATTTGTTTTGTGTTAAGCTGGAGTTTTATTTTTGAACCAATGTTTTATTCATGTCTTGAAAGTGCCTTCCTATTGAACTAATTAAACAAATACTTCTTTTATTTTTTTCCTTTGAGTTGTTCATTTATTTGTTTTATCTTGGCACAATACGTCACACTACTAATAATAATTGACTAGAAATCAATCTACATATGAAAGGCTGATTAGACTTAAAGGTTTTAAAGTTAACTAATAAAAAAATAATTTTATTATACATGATGATGATCTACATCTAATTCATCTGTTTTAAACAAAATATTTGGGGGGGGGGAATGCCCCAAAAGATATTAATTTTACTTTGAATTATGAATTAACTTCAGTTGGAAGATAACAAGAGAATATTCTATTGTAATAGTCCTATTTTATAACTTCAATAATAGAAAGTGATTTATTTTTGTTACTTTCCTTAAAATATTAGAAAGTATTTTTATGCCTATTTTCAATAAATAATTACATTTTATTTTCTAACAAAGTATGACAAATTCAAATCGAATGTAAAATCAAATCAGATTTTTGTAAAAACACAAATGAAATGAAACTAACAAAAAAAAATTAAAAAACAAAGCCTTATATAAGGGAAGAATTGCTAATATCAGGGCCATGTATCTTTAAAATGCAGGACTAAACTCCATTTTTATTAATTAATAAACAAAATCTCTAATTGATTAATTAATTGGTTAATTTTTATTGATTCATGTCTTGTCATCGACTAGGAATAATTGTGTGCACAGTTTTGATCCCAGAATGGCAAGTGGGAGAAAGAACGAGTGCAAAACGTAATAAGATGAATAACTTTAAATACTTTCACATCTCTCAAAAGTCGCATTTATTCCCCTTATTTAATAGAAAAATAACATTTAATTAACTAATTCCTTTTTTTTTTTAATTGATTCTTGTTTTGTCAGGTTCAATAAATAATTGTGTAAAGTTTCATCATGATCCGAGAATGAGTGTGAGAGAACTAACGTGTACAAACTTTTGACCAGACAGACAGAGTTGATGCACGCTTTATAATGCTACACGTCTTTCTGTCACTCAACTTTTGCTTCTATGATCCTCCTTGAACTTTCTCACCATTTTTTTTTATTAACTTGAACTACGAGAAGCAACCTCGTGGTCTCATCAGTTTATATAACCAAACCATCTGCCCATCATAATCATGGTTACATCAGTTTATATAACCAAACCATCCGACAATCGTACTCATGGTTACATTAGAAACACACACACTCACTTCATAACAAGTTAATTTTTGGATTTTCTGGCACAACTCAGGGCATGCCGTGCCCTCCATAACAAGTAAGAGAAAGAACTTCATTGTATAATTAAACAACTTGATGGCAACTCGGAATGATTCAGTCTGATCAGAAATATTTAACGTTAATGAAATACATCACACACGCACGCACACACAAGTGAATTCCTTTCATATGCCTGATGGGCTGATATATTCATTCATTTTTTTAATTCAAACAACAAAATTAATGATTATGACACAAGTAGATATTATTGGTTTTCCAAATATTTATATGCGTAAGCCTATATAGACAAATGCCTGCCTCCCGCTGGACTGTCGTTCGGGCGTCTCGATGGTCTAGGGTTCATACCCTGCAAGGTGCCATCCCCCGTCGTCCTGCGGGAGGTTTGGAATAGGATGTAGATTATGTAGAGCACTTTACAAACTTTAGGAAAATCTTTAATATGTGTAGCAGATGTGTAGATTTATAAATTTGTGATTTTTATAAAAATTCAAACGCTCCCTACAATAAATGCCATCAAATATGTTTGCATACTTTAGACCAGTGTTTCCTAAAGTGGGGTAGGCGTACCCCCAGGGGCACGGGGATAGTTTGGAGGGGGTACGAGTTGCACTTCATTAACTATGCTATGCTCAGTTAATACATTAAAATAAATTATGAATATCTAATTGTTAGAGATGTTTTTAATGAAGGCCGACATATAAAAATGGCAATAAAGAGAGATGTTTTAAAGCTTCGCCATGTGGAGTTGAGTGTCATTTGTTAGGTGTCCTAAAATATGTTTCATTTCCATATGCCTGGTTTAAAATGGTCAGGATCGCCACTTATTGCCACTCTCTTATTGCTGAGCATTTGAGAAAAAGGGGGTGGGCTAAATTACAGTGGGCCCATGTTCTAGAATACATCTTGATTTTTCTAATTTCATACTTATAAGAAGCTGCTTTTTTTCAACATTTTAGACAGTACGTCGAAAAAAAGGAACAGTTTGTTAAACGTGGTACAGCATCTCAGATTAAAATTAACAACCAGGGAACCGAATTATTTGATCTGTCATCTCAGCAATAATAATTTCATTCTTCTTATGCAAGTACATTTTTTTCGGGGGGGGGGGGGAGTCAGCGTTACAAAATAATACAAAAGGAGTACAATAATGTCAAAAGTTTTGGACCCACTGCTTTAGACCATGTAACTTTTCATTGGTCTCCCAGGACAAAGTAACAAGAGGAGTTTTATTGCTCTATCAACTATTGGAAAGTTAATGTTAATGTCAAACTACTGTCAATGTGTTGTTTGCACATGAAATGTATCTACATGTAAAATCACTTTAAGCAAAGCTTCCCTTTCTCTACAGGCTAGCTAATGAACACAATAATGTAACGATTAATGGAAAAAAAAAATTTTTTTAATAACTGCTAGCTTGTATTGTAATTTTGCAATGGTACCGTCTTCGATTCCGATGATTAAGAATGAGTGCAGTGTTTCACATGACTATGCAAACCCATTTTCGACCTGCATATTTTTCCACAACTAATCCAGTCTAAGCCGTTGTCCACCTGGAGTCTATTTAGGTTTTCTTTACGTCACTTGCGCCTGAATATCTTTATTTTGGCCGAAATACTTTTTCATACTTCAATAGAACGGTTCGCATTATAACGCTGCCCAACCCCAACACAATTTTCTGACCTCTAAATTCTATAAAGTCCCCTTTTTTTGTCTCTTTCATTGCACAATGAAATTTGGCTAATTTAGACTATGCACAAACACACCTTAGACTCATCAGTTGTTGTTCTAAAGAAAAAGTATGCATTGCCTACATTACAACAGGGACGCAAACCTATTTCCCACACACACATACAGACACAAAAACACAATAGGCCTACTGTTCACTAACACAATTTCTTTGTGTATTCCTTCAATGAAACACACACAACCACACACTTTTCAGCTCTTGTATCTTCCAATGGAGCGGCTCAAAACACACACTTGAATTTCAGATGCGCATAAAGATAATCTAGTCTACTTTTTTTTTTACAAAGCTTATATTAACTCTGGCAAGACTACATTACAGCTTATATTAATTCTGGTAAGACTACATTACAGCTTATATTAACTCTGGCAAGACTACATTACAAATAATTATGTTCTGCTGGAGGCCGGAGTGGACAGAATGGAAGCACTAAGTACCATTCGACAGTTGCGCTGGGTCGGACACTTATTCCACATGGGAGACGACCGCATGCCAAAGGCGTAACAGAGGTGCCCAAAGTAAGCGATGTAAAGATCAACTCAGGCGCCATGTGGCCCTAAATGGTATAGAGGAAGGAAGCTGGCAGCAGATGGGCTCTGAAAGAGATAGTTGTAGAGCTCTCACAAAGGCTGTGTGACAAACATTTGTTATGAGACTCAAAGGAAAGCC